GTAGAACTCTCTGTTTTGGTCCCTGAAAAGTCATGTCTTTGATGCTGGGTGAAGTGGTGCAAGCCTGTAATTCCAGTGTGCCTGGAAGCTGAGGAGGAGGATCACAAGTTCCTCTGGCCCAGCCTGGGGAGGGTAGTAGGATTTAGACAGCGTAAATAAATTCTTACAGGTTAGGGGAGCAAGCTTCTACTGTCACCCAACATTCTATTGAATTTTATCTTGCTCCTCCAAGAAGGGTTTGTGTCTAGGTTCTTCTAGCCCTGACGTCTACTCAAGTGCTTACAAGTAGTATCTCTCTTCTCTTGGATATAATAATGAGTTAAGGGTTGAAAGAAACCCTTCTTCCCTTTCCTCAGACAGGTGGGTTTGGACCTAAACTTTCTTCTGGGCAGCTGCTTTCAGACTTCTCTTTCTTTCCTAGATTGTTCTTTCTCTGCCTGAACTCTCAGAAGGAGAACCAAATTTAATTTCTCAAAAACTATTGAAAAGTTTAGAAAACTGTATCTTTGGAGAAGTTTGTATGCTGAAAAATCTGCTTGACAGTTCAAATGCATCTTATTCTTTTAATGAATTTATCTTCTCATTAATTTATATCACTTATGTCTTTAAAAGTTGGGTTTGGACTTTAGCATAAATAAACAGAATAAATGGACTAGAAAGTGTTGGTCAACCTTATCAGTCTTTAAAGATGCAGAAATTAATATAAGATTGAGTGATGTAAACTAAAGAAAGAGGACCACCTAAAATGATTTTTCTAGAAAAAGAAACCTTTTTATTCAGATCTGCAGAAAAAGGTGTGCTTTCATTAGTCGATAAGTGTTTGGGATAGTAACTATGACTTTGGACATCCCTAAACCTCTTTGGAAATGGTTGAAAATATTAAAGGCTGTATTGTAGTTAATGTGTGAAGCTGAAAAAATTATGAACATCTTAAGCTGTATCGTTATTTCAGTTAATTGTTTTAGTGAAACTTTCTTTTTAATGAGGAGAGTTCCACTTTCTCTGGTTCTCTAGTCTAGATGGTCACTGTTGTAGTTGAAACCGAGTTGAGTGTGCCTATCACTGAGGCCATTGAACATTCTAACAGAAAATGCTTTGCTAAATGTTTCACTTCCTTGTTTAAATTTTTGTTTTGCTTTCCGGGAATAGCTCATTTCTAACAAAGCATATCAAGCATTTTTAAATCCTATGATGTTCAGAAAATTTAGGCAACTTGATTAAGGTTATACCTTCTCATAAGCTAGCAGAGCAGTCCAGGCAATAAAATATGTCTTTTGGATACAATATCAAATACAGTATGTTTTTTTGGATGTTCCCTAAAGTTTTGACATGCATGTAGATATTCAAGCATTTTAGAGTTAAGCTATCTCTGATAGAACCCTGTGGAAATTAGTAATAAGTGACCAAAGTGTCAATTAGACTAAAATGCTACACTTGACAGTAAGGGAACCTAATGAAGGAATAAGGAAAGTCTTACTAAGATTTCCCAGTTCCTCTCAACTAAGAAGGTGTATATCATTTTAAAGAGAAGTCCCAGTAGTCTTGTTAGGAAGAAGGTAAGCAGTTTGACTTGTCTTTCTGATCTATTCTTTCAGTCTCTTCCATTCTTTGTATGAGTTTCTCAAAACTGCACTCTCACCCAGATGTAAAGTAATCCCCTGTAGGGTGTTAGTTGATGGTTTTAGGTTGTTACCACCACCAAGGGTATTTGCATTTTAATAGAAAGTTTTGAAAGAACTTCAAGCTTCAAGTCTGAAAGCAATAAATCTCTATTGGTGGAATGTGAGGCAAGGTGATAGATTGGGTAGGAGATATCTGTGATGAAAGGAGCCCACTGGGTCTATTCTAATCACAGCGTGAATTAAAGTGTTCCTACTTAGTAGCCTAACTTCTGCTTCCAGAGTAAAAGCTGTTAGGACAACTCCTGTGGCCTGAATAATGAAGTACTCCTCAACAGTTTTAGTTTCTTTCAAAGTAAAACAGGTTAAAGGACCAAAAATTGAAGTCTTTTAATTTCCTTTTCCACTTTCTCCGCGGCATCTTACTAGAGATCACACCAAATCTCTACTTTTGCCCCTGTGGTATTGAGACTTATATTGAATATTATGTTTAGACTCCATTTTCCAAACTTTGTATCTTACTTTTTTAATATCCTGGCAGGTTTTTGAAGCACTAAAAATGATAAAATAGGATGCCTGAGGAATTTGGAGGAAATGACTATACAAATAGTTGAAAAATTATTTAAATATATGCCTACTTTGTGCACTTTCTGGCATGTCATATTAGAGCAGAATAGATAAGCAGATTACTGCAATTGCTGCTGAGTTATAGTAGGGTCGTTCACTGTATGTTATGACAGTTCTTGGCAAGAGCACTAGAACTTGGAATGGTTAGTAAGAAGAATGACTGAGGTTTATTTAGATAAAATGGGGATGAGGATAGTTTGATGTAGAAATGTTGAGCAAGTAGACAGCATTTATAAATGATGTACAAGAAGACCAAACCAACTCAGCAAACTGTTAAAAAAGGGCAAAATATAAATGATCAGTTGAAAAATAAAAACACGAAATTGTAGAAGTGGACTTGGGCCCCTTTAGAGAGACCAGCATATGCTAAAGAGTATGACTCTAAAAAAAATATTGATTAATCAAATGTAAAATAATGATCAAATTTGCTTTTTAGAAAAATCCTTCTGGAAACACTGAGCTGTCTTCATTCTGGACTCCAAGCTCTAGAGTGGAACAAATTTGGATATAGATGGTGAAAGAGTTTGGAAATCTGTAAAAGTACATCACATAAGAAATGAGGGACTGACCTATATGGTAGGAGTGGAGACATAGAAAGTAGAGTAGATTAAAAAATGTCTTGGTAGAGATGATATTTGAGTGTGCAAGAGAAGGAAAAGACACTGCTGAATCTTGAGTTTTTTGGCTCATTAAGTAGGTATCATTTTGCTGAAAATGGGAAAGAAGAATGGGTTTTAATGGCTCAGATGCTGATTTCAGATTTGCACAAGCTGAGTCTTAGATTATTTTAGAATATCTAAGCAGCGATGTCTAGTAGAGAGACATCAATCTGTCTAAATCCCAAGAGGAAGCTCTGGACTATAGATGTATATTTAGCCACTAGTCTTAGCATCTCAGTGATGACAAAAAAGATCACTCAGGAAGAACAGAGATTATTTGAAGGCTGTTGATTGATTCTGGATAAATAACAAAAGTTAAAAAGCCAACTGAAGATAAAGAATAAATAGCTAGAGAGATACTTCAATATAAGCAGGAAAGTACCCCTACAGGTTAACAAAACAGACAAGAATTTGCAAACAATGTTCTTATCCTCTCTAAGACCTGAAGAATCTGATCCACAAAATAAATCTGCCAGTCTCAACCCCTTTCCTTGCTATTTGACTTGTTTCAGCTTATTTGAAATAATCTATATACACTCTTACATTTTCATGCTTTCATTCCTTTTTTGTATCTTCACTGAAGTGAACCTTTTCCCCATTCTTTCCACATTTATTTCATTCTCTGAATTTTCTTCTAATGCTTCCACTGCCATCTTTTTTTCTCTGAGTATGGTAGTATCATCATCTTGCCTAAGTTCCGATTAGTATACAGATTGCAGTTTTCTTATGAGGTTTTCCTCACTACAATTTGCATCATAATTATTTATGCATCTGAGTCTTTCCCTTTGGCAAGAGGTGTCAGCTCCTGAAGACTTAAGAACTCATTCACCCAAATCAGCATCCAAATCAGAGTACTGCTTTGAAAACAGCAGGTGCTTAGTAGTTATTTGTTCAGTGACCACATATATTGCTTATACAAGGTAAGAGATAGGGTCTTGGAATCTTTTGATGAGGCAAGTGATCTCAGCTGAAGCAAACATGGAAATCCTTCATCCTTATGGAGGATGTATAGACAGTTTGATATATCTGCTTACATATTGACTAAATAAATGATGAGAGGACATTTCATAAAGGCACATTTATAACATAGAGGCTCAAAGTGGCAATGTATTAGTAAAATGTTTAAAAAATTATTGATATATTCTTGATGTTACTTTCATGGAAAAAAAGTGAATTCTTGTCTTGTCCTCACCTCCTTTTATAGTATTAAAAGAATTTTGTGTAAAAGCCACCTAAAAGACAAGTACTATAAAACACTACTATTAAGTACAACAACACTATTATTTATCCCAAAAGTAGGTGTAATATGCTGTATTGGCAGTTTCTAAAATGTCCAAAAAATAGTCCCAAGTCTTTCTAATTTATTTTATATATTAAAAGTAAGGCAACTTGGTAAAGTTATTTGCTTAAATGGAATAAGGGTTAAATGATAATTTGACTTATCTTTTAGATGACAAAAAATAAAGAAATTGGAAGACCTTTTCACACATTAGATATGTATTGTCATTTATCATCTAGATATCAGGCTAGCAGTGCGAAGTAATAAAACATATCATCGAAAAATGTGCTATAGGTCTGAATCACTCTTTCATTCCACCTCCCAGCTAACTGTAGTATTAAATCAAACAAGCAGAACATTTCCTTAGGCAGCCATTGCCTTTTAATTTCCTGAAGAACCTTAAAATATCATTCATTACAAGTACTACACATATTTGGTTTTTAAAAGTCTCATAAATCAATAGCAGGCTGACTGTAATAATTATTACAAGTTAGTGCATAATTTTCGTGCTGAAGGCTGCATGCAGAACTTTAGCATATGCAAACGAGGCAATTCAAACTGTGTATAGATATTAATATGAAGAAGCAGGTAACGAGGTGCAGGCTATGAATTATGCATCAGGAGTGGCTGATCTTCAATGAGGAAAATGAATTCAGCATGTAATCTAATTAGTGATGGAAGTCTATTACATCTAACTGCAAAAGCAACCGTCCTTGAAACAAATTTATTTACAGTCCATGTTACCACTTGAAACAACTTTGAAATGATGTGTAAGACAACAGCTTAATTGTAAAATTTTTTGTTTGTTTGTTTCAGTTCTAGACCTGGAAGGCCTCCTAAGAGGACTCAAAGTGTCACCTCCCCAGAGAACTCTCATATCATGCCACATTCTGTCCCTGGCCTCATGTCTCCTGGAATAATTCCACCAACAGGTAAGAGTGTTATTTACTTACACCAAAGATATTAAAAATTAGCCAACATCCTAGATTTGATGCACAGCTATTATTAAATTTGTGTTTGTATGCATCAATTTTATTTTGTGCACAAAACGACAATGTCACTGGAGATAGTTTATTTCAGACTATATTGTGATTATGATCACTTTTTAAATTTAAAATAAAATGAAAGATGCTTAATTGCACATAATGCTAGAAGTCATTTTAATTAATTCTCCCACAATATCCAAAAGTAAATTATCATTCCTTTTCTTTTCAAAGAGTAGGTGCTCAGTAAGAATCAGTGGCATGACTTTCTCAAGGTCGCTCAGCGGAGAGCTCCCAGTGTTGGTTACTCAGACTCAGGTCTCTGGATTCTAAGCTTCATTCTCATCCCATAAGGAATCAGAAATGAGAAAAATACATGCAACAGCAGACAATGACTGTGTGAAATAGAAAATCTGTTTTTTTCAAACAAATTTCTATTGCTGCCATTTCAAGGAAGTTCACATAATTACATAACCTTGACACTATAAACAACTTTATGTTCACGGCAGAAAAAAAATAACTCATTTGATTTCTGCCACCTGCATGTGTTCTTTAATTTTATGGCCTACTTATACATACTTCACTTATATATATATATTCTGCTTTCCATTAGGAAATGAGACAGATCTATGAGCAAATTCAAATACTGATATTAGTATGTAGCATAATATTTATATTAATTCTTACTCTCATGGAAGTTTATTGAGATAAACATATAAACTTTAAATGCCATATAATATATAATACAGCTAATACAATAGAAAGTTGGCAAGATGAAAACAGTATTTTTGTCTAGGACTTTCCGTATCAGTATTTTCATTTGCTTCGTAACATAGTCTTTTTCTGTGTTCTATTATAATCATGGTTCATTTGATTTCATATTCCAAATATGGATGAAAGTTCCTTCAAGTACTGACTCTTTCTAACACATCTTCATTTTTATGGCAATATCTAAATATTTCATTCACCTTTGTGAATATTTATCAGATATTAATTGAGCTGAGTATTTAATTCTTTTTTCACCAATTCACTACAGAGTCTTAATAGCAAATAATTGAAATTCCCCCAGTGTGAACTTTTACGTTAATATTGTGGATGAAAATTCGAGACATAGACTAATGATATTCATAACTGAAAATGACCCAATTCCAAAGTGAGTATCATTTTCATTTGTTGAGCTATACATGAGTCTCAAATTATTGAATCCTGTGGCCTGAAATTGTAGTTCAAAATTACAGATTTGTAAAAGAAATTGATATCACTTTGTTAAGCTTTGACTGTATATATTTAATTAAATGATAAAATTTCCACTTTTGAAATTTTGGATGCTGCATAAGAAAATCTTTTTTATTAAACATTAAAATTTTATTTTTCATATATTTTATCATTTAAAGACTTAAATGTGAAGGGAGAAAGATCTAAATCTTTGACATAATTAAACTCAAGTGACCTATGTTTTGAATTTTTAAGTGACTATGTTAATAATCATTTTGTATATTTGGTAAGTTTGTTTTGACTATCAAATGTTACTTAATCACAGTTATTTTTAAGAAAAAAATATATTCTAGATTGTATTCACATAAAAATAGGGAAGATTTCATCCCAAATCGTCTTCCAATATTCAAGTTTTCAAGGTTATAATTATGAATCATTTCTTACCAAAACAATAAAGAAATAAGGTGGTGCCATCAAAATCTAAATATAGCAACTTCTCATATAGTTAACATTATCAATTAACTCTGAAGTAAAGTTGTGGGTTTTTTTGTTTGTTTGCTTGTGGTACCTGGGCACCACTGAGCTACATTCCCGGCCCAAGTTTTTCTTTTCTTTTTTTTTTTTTTTTTTTTTTTTTTTTTTTTTTTTTTTTTTTTTTGAGACAGGTCTCACCATGTAGTTAAGACTAGCTTTGAACTCACTATGTAGCCTAGCCTGGGCTTGAACTTGCAGTGGTCTTCCTGCCTCTGCCTCCCAAGTGCTGGGATTACAGGTGTGTGCCACTATGCCCAGCTGAAGTAAAGTTTATAAATAAAAAAGTTCATATATTGAAACCCCAAATCAAATCATTAAGTAACTTAAAAAATTTTTCTTTCTAAAATATGTCATACACTTTTGTGGGTAAATAAATACTGGAGATAGTTTCGAATTGACTTGCCATTTGTCGATTATTTTACAGTAGGATCGTTTTTGTATTTCAATTGCCATGTTTTCCTCTCAGCCCTTTCGTGTCTTTGTGCTTTCTAATGTATTGAAGCCAGAAGCCAGGACTTCTGCGAAGCTTGCCAAGCAAGTATTGAGAAAGATCTTATGAAGTAACATTACAGATAAGAATGAGGAGAAAGACTGGATTGTACAGGGCTCTTGGACAAGTCAGTGAATGGTTTAGCAGGGCCTGTTTGCTCACTGCTGCTTCTTTCCGACAATCTAGACAATCGTCCAAATATTTGAGATTGCCAGACTATACCTATTGTACTTGAATGAGGCTGTATTAATGTATTCAATATGTAATCTCCCTTTTTACATAAACATTTTCTAGATAGAGAAGTTTACATTTTAGGAAACACATAATTTTGCCTCTCAGTATTGGGGGACATCTTATTCACTACTTTTTAAATTATAAATCTCACAGTCCTAAATAAATCTTGTGGATCTCAAGAGCTGTATACAGTACCTTTTCCCCAGAAAGTGCTTTCTCTATTAGAGGAATGGGATTCATATAAATACATAAATTTTATATCTTAGGATTTAATTTTGTATTTTCTACTTTCCTTAAAAAACATTGTCAATTTTTTATTCCCAAAATGAAGAAAGCCAAAAGTGCTTTTTAAAAATCTTATGAAAAAAATGTACATTTATATTCTTGACAATAAGCAAATTATTTTGCTAATATTTCTATTGTCCAAACCTGTGAGTTTAAATTTAGAAAAAGTTTCTAATAATATCATTAAAAGACATAAATTTGTGTTTTAAAATTAACAAAAATAGAGAAACCTATAAACCTTAAAAGTAGAAAAAGATACAAATAAAAGTCCCATTTAATTTCAAATCCTAAAATTTAAATTTCAACTTACTTATGAATATGTAACTATACATTTGTATTCCTAGTAGTTGTGACATTTAGAAAGAATAAAAACTTGCAAATTTGCCTTCAAAGTTGCCAAACTTTGTCCCATGGAGGGAATGCTGATTAATTTTGATGAATTCATAAACACTCCCTGACTTGTTCCTGGCCATTCTCTTATTTTTAATTTTCTATAATTGAACATTGGAATTATCTTGTCTGGAAGCACTTGTTTTCTCAGAAAAGATTGTCTTTATTTTATAAAAATCATGTTTCAATTTTAATATTGCAGATTTAGGTAGTTATTATTTAAGAATACAAAAACAAAACAACAAAGACTAATGAGATTTCTTCTTGAGCTTTTATTTGTTTGCTGTTTTGTTTGCTTCAGCAGACCTGTATATAACTTTAGAAGGGGGCGTGGGCAGATGGTGGTAATTTCCAGAAGTTATGGTTGTCACCAGATGTCATAGCAACCAGAAATTGAAGTTAATGAAAGAAAGAAGCCTCTTTGTAGAGTCTTACAGGCAATACCTCCTGCAGTGGTCACTACATTTATTTAGAGTGAGCACTTGTCATAAATCATTTTTGCTAATAAATACCAGTTTGGAAAAAAATCATCCTAGCAACAGCATTCCAATAACATTCATACTTTTTATAGAATGGTGATTATTGTACAGTTAAGGAAAGAGTATTTATGGATTCAGGATACTCCTTTTTTTTCCCTGAGAGGGTAATTTAGATACAGTATTTGGTCAATTTCTTGATTCTTATCTTTAGGGTTGAATGCAAACTCATTTTGAAATACAATTTTTATATCAATATTATGAAGTAACTTACTGAATTCTAAATGCTTGCATTTGACATCAAAAGCAAAGTTATTCTCTACTTATTTTCTTTCAAATACATTCAGATCAAGTGATTGCTTTATAGGTTTACTCTGTGACATTGTCTTTTGTCTCTTGACTTTGTTGAGACATAACCAAAGTGCATTTAAAAAAAGAATTTGCAAATGCACACATGCACAAACACACACACAATGCGTAAAAAGAATTTGTACATGCAAATTTATCATTTTGGAAAAAATGGACCGTGACAATATTAATGTAGAGTTAATCCTATTGAAACATTCCTATTTAAAAAGTTTAAAGGATTGCCAGGAGTGGTGTTGCATGACTGTAACCCCAGCACTTGGGAGGCTGAGACAGGAGGATTGCTGTGAGTTCAAGACCAGGTCAGTCTTAATTACATAGCGAGACCCTGTCTCAAAACACCAAACAAAAAAAAGTTTAAAGGAAAGCATTCATATATATATATGTGTGTATATATATATATATATATTCATTCAATGATAAACAAGTATATTTTCAAATCTTATGTTCTTTATTTTTCCAGCTAATATCAACCACCACCAACATCCAAAATACCCCTTTTAAAATGTCAACATTTGCAATATTTTTAAGTTCTTTAAACATTCTACTTTCTCAAGAGAAAATTCATAGCATAGAACTGTACCTCATATGTTGAGAAATTTTTTATAATACATGTATCATATTCCATAAGGAAATTTAAAAGTTAGGATGATAGAAATATTTACAAGCAAACCAGCCACAAATATGATGATTGTCTTTACTAATCTTAATAATCTACTGAATGCCTTATTCAAAGAGTAAATACGATGTAAACTATTTAAACCATTCATATGTATACATTAATGGGAGTTTTTCATACAGTTTGTATATACTGAGTTCTAACTCTGGACATTTTTAAAATACCACATTTAATCTATTACTAAGATAATTCATATTTCCTTTTAGTTTTTCCTGAAGAGAAAAATAAAATAATATAGCTTCTTTTTTTCCGCTTTATGAAAGGCCATCTAGACTTCATC